AATCAAGACTTGCTGCTGTGGAAGAATCACACAGCAAAAATGTAAAAAGTGTGTCAGTCATTTAGGAACAGAAACTAAAAACTAGCTCAGTCATGAAGGGGTTAAAACCATAACATTCATAAACCACATATGAACAATATAAAAACAGTAACAGATGACTTACTGTTAAAAAAAGTAGCTCAAGTGATAATTTGATGATACATTTGGATTTTGTATGCATTTATATTTTGACCTGTGTTTGTGATTGCCAAACTCATGGTATCTGTCCATACTGGTTGTATAACATTTTCTTGTTATCCTCCTCACAAAGGAAGAAATACTGATCAGGACCTACAAGGACTGCCACCATAGTGTTCTTCAGTGTATTAAGCCTCTTCACGCCCATCAAAAGACTTGCATAGAGATGTGCAGTCATTCCTATGAAACCTACCCATTTAAAGTCTCCAGAGATCCCGTCAGTATATATCTGCCACTCTCCCGCATGCTGGCAGGTAAGTAACAGCCTCCATTTGTTCATCTGTAATATGGGGCTATGAAGTTTCTTTATTTTAGTATGTAAAATTTATGAAGTGTTATTTCCTTTGGAATTCTTCTTCTTGGGAACAGTCAGGTCCTCATTTGTCTGCAGTTTTCATTGTGTATACAACCTTATACTCATACATTATAATATATAGCTGGTAAGGATGTATAATATATAGGTGGTAAGGATGTCCCGATACCACTTTTTCAAGACCAAGTACAAGTACTGTCCCTCATGTACTTGCCGATACCAATTACCGATACTTTTTCTTAAAGGGCCATGTGACATTTTTTCAAAAACAATAGACTAATGATTTTAGGGCAGTTTCTCACCAGGGCTGCGTGCATTGGAGGTGACAGGTTCTCTTTAAGGTGACATTAGGGGTCTTTTAGACCTCTTGTGTCACCTTTCCACTTCACTGGATTCACTGAATGTAAATACAGCAGGCAGTGGCTGGGAGCAATAGCCAGTCTGCTATTGGATATTTTAAATTGCAATAGCCGATAGCAGGCTGGCTATTTTACCCGCCCACTGCATGCTGTCAATCCAGCAAAGGAGGGAACTGAAGACAAAGTTCTCTATCAGGTCCTCCCTGCTGATTGAGAGCAGGCAATGGGTGGGTACAATAGCCAGCTTGCTATTGGCTATTGCAATTTAAAATATTCAATAGCAGGCTGGCTATTGTTACAAGTGTCCATTCCTTTTCCACTTGATTAAACTGTTTGCTTTTGGTGATATATCTCAGTGTCAGTTGTCTGTGCTCCTTATGTGTTTAATAATGCCCTCACCAGACCCACACAGAAGTTTTCCCTCTCAATGAAAGAAGGCAAAGTCCATTATGTGTGACTGTGAAGGCAAGATTTACAGCTTCTCTCCTCTCCTCCGTGAGCACACTGAACGGACATTCTCTTCTTACATTGAGAGTGAAAACTGTTGTGTACGTCGGCTGATGAGTGCATTACACATAAGGAGCACGGACATCTCAAACATTTTGATATATTACCAAAAGCAAAGTTTCATAAAGCTGAACAGAATAG